ACTCAACACAGGATTCCCATTTTGGCCACAGCCTCGGGGTTGCTCTAACATATCGTTTCATCCTTAGATGTCCACCCAATAATGACTAACAATAGGTATAGAATTTTAGGACAATGTTGGAGTTAAAATAAATAACACAGACTGAATGAAGTGGATCTTTGAAAACTTGCAACAAGTATATTGTGCATTTTGGTTGGCCAATATTTGGTGGATTTTTGTATGAATTTGATAAATGGCCAACACATCTACCCCTGCATATAGACTGAATATATTATATATTATATTATAATATATTAGGCTTGCAATCCAGTAAACTAAATAGAGCACATCAGCCATATGTTGTGGCCTTTCCTAGATAACTTCTCTGTTTTAGAGTCCCTGGCAAACTGGAGGAACAGGTCTGTCACAATACCTGATTGGACACATTTGGCCTTGTGGGTTACAGGTTGTACAGACCTGGAATATACACTATTGTTTGGGTCTAAACATTCTTCAGGGTTTAAGAATGAAAAGACTGAAATGTCAAATGTATTGCTGTAACGCTATATGGTGGTTCATATCTGTTGAAAAAGGGGATGAGCTTTAAGTGAAACTATATACTAGTACTAGTAATATAGACAATTACTTTCTTCTCATAAATACAATGGCTGTATGTTATGTTTGCTCACTTTCTCAAAGACAGTAGACACCAGGGTATATGATGTAATCAACAGTTATTTGATACAGGGCATTGAATTACCTGGTACCAAGGCTATTATTGCTCCTTTTTAATTAGTCCTTGGGCATTTTATAATTTGTTGGCTATCTAACAAGAAAGACTCCTTAGAGGTGGTGTTTGAGAAGAATCAAACAGACTATCACTGTAAAGAACTCTGACAAATTAAGTGTAATGAAAATAAGATATAGAGCTGCCAAAAGCGAAGGGGGTTATTTCATGAAAACATGTGGCATTCCTAAACAATACCCCATGCCTTTGGGGGCAGTTTTGGGGAGCTGTTATAAAAAGAACAGCTCCCCAAAACTGCCCCCAAAAAAGTGAGGTATTGTTTAGGAGTGAAAGCTTTGGGGTTTTTGTTTTGTTTTATTTTGTTTCATCAAGAGCAAGGGTAATCCTAACAGCATTTCCTCAAGTCATTTTCAGCAATACTGCTGTATGCCCAGACAAGATGAGCAAGATAGCATGATGTCAACAAACTGACTATATGATTGTCAGTCAATCAGAACCGCAAATGTGAACCAGGAGGGAATAATGGTGCTGAAGCCCTAGTAGAAAGGAAACATAATGGAAACAAACAGATGAAAAGGGGAAATATCACATTCGGTTTAGAAAAACTAATTTTGTCCTCTGCTATCCAAGAAATTAAGCCAGGAAACATTCAACATGCCCTTAATAAGATATACATTTCAAACCCATTTAAGAAATATAAATGGAAAAGTAAGAACAATTATGACATTATAAAGACTATTTAATATATTATAAGCTTTCATAAACCACAACCCTTTATGTAAGATGCGTAAGTGTAATCTAGTCCATAAAAGCTCACGTCACAACAAAACAACTTTTAATATGCTTCTTTGTTGTTTTTACTACAACAGTGTAATAAACCATCCAAGCATTAAGCAGTGTCACCCTGCTAAGATACTTGGTAACAGGGAAGCCTCATGCTTCCAGACAGTATTGTAAGCTGCCTTGAATCCCATTTTGGGAGAAAGGTGTGATACAAATTCAATTAATCTATCAATAGGAAGTGCTTAGAACATTTCATGCAGCTGGTGGAGGGAAAATGAGAGAAGCTGAAACAGATGGAGAAATGAAAACTAGATGGCCAGAGGGAGAAAATCCTACTGCATGAAATCAGTTCAAACCTCTGGCAAGAGCTATCTATCCCTCCCTGATGGATTACTGGAGCAGAAATGTAGAGAAGAAAGAGAGAAAGAAAAGGGAAGGATCACACCAATTTTTGCTTCTTGCTCTATCCATTGTTGGCATGTGATTTGCACAGCTTAGAAGTTATTTTCTAGAATTAGAATTCCCAGAATCCACCATGTCACTAGAAAACCATGTTTCTACTAGTAATAACTTAGAACAAATCAACTTATTTAGTTCTTACATAGGCTGTAAGTAATGCAGGTAGGAAACACCACTGGAGGTTCAAGAACTTACCAAGGACATCTCTTTTTCTTGAAACTGTGTGTACGTTATGCGTTCTGATTCTGTCAAAGCACCGCATCCACCACCCTTCTGAATGATTATATTTGGCTGATCTCTGGATCCAGAAGTCTTGAAGACATCTGCCTACATAACGGCAATTAAAATAAGGTGCAAATAATGTTATTAAGCTATTTTACACTTTATACATTAGATTAATTATATTCACATATTTATTTTATCCACGTTTACAGGAGGATTTTTTTTAATGACCCCTGTGAAATATGTGGGCCGAGCAATCTTATGTTCCCACTGTGCTGGCCACATACGCCACTACAAGCCCTATGTAACTTAGTACATACTTCTCATCCTTCACAAGGCAAGAAAAGGTACATGCATCACCATGAAAAGCACAAAATGGAGCAAGAGGAACAACTACACACACTATATCCATGAAATATATCCGGGGGTAACCACATTGGCCATATAGCAAAATACAGTAACATCAAAATCCACAAAAAAGTGAAACATTTATTGAGTCAACCAAAATGCATAAAATACATGTTGCAAGCTTTCGAAACCCCATTGGCTTGTTCACTAGGCAAAGGCATTAAAAATAATTTGTTGTTATTGTATGCCTTCAGGTCGTTTCCGACTTACAAACCCTAAGGCAAACTTATCATGGGGTTTTCTTGGCAAGTTTCATCAGAGATGGTTTGCCATTGCCATCCTCTGAGGCTGAGAGAGTGTGATTTGCCCAAGGTCTCCTAGTGGGTTTATATGGCTGAGCCAGAATTCAAATGTTGGTCTCCAGAGTCATAGTAAAAATTATGGGGGGGGGGGGGGGGGGGGGGAGCAGAATGAAAAATGACCACATTAGTCACAGGCCTGCATTTTGTCAAGATGTAGTTGGTGTTGTTCTAAGGCATGTTTTACCAAACGAGTGCCTATAATTTTCCCAGTGCAAAAGCATGGAGGCTTCTCTTGAGAGATCCAATGTGCTCTGCACATTGAAGGGGACTATGACCTCACAAGGGACAGTGACATCCTGGATCTCAAAGGAAGTGACTTTTTGTGTTGCAAATGGAATTTGGATTTTATCTCCTGGACTTTGGAAGGCTTTGTTCCCAGTGCCACATAGCCAGAAGGAGGAGGGGCCTGCTTGCACTGATATCCCTCCACACCATTTCAACTTAGAACAACACCAAGTGCATTTTGATAAAATGCAAGCCTGAGACTAACATCATTTTTATTTTATTTTTTCTCCTGTATGATTTTTTAACACTTTTGCCTGATGAACAAACCAATGGGGCTTCAAAATCATATAATATGTATTTTATGCATTTTGGTTGGTCCAATAAAGTGTCACTGTTTTGTGATTTGGGATGTTATTGTACTCCATATCTGTGGTTACATTAAAATTGTCCTACATGACAATGGCACTATCATGTCAGTCTGCCACTGAAGGAGCCACCATTCCAGTTCGTTGCATGAGGTGATTCCCTCATGATATTTCCCCAACTCAAAAACAAAACAACAACAGATAGTTTAACACAATTCCGAGAGTCCCAGCTGAAAAGAGCTGCAGCAATCTGAAGAAATCTTCTGTTCACCATGCCAGGTAAAATGAAATTAAACAGTCATGGGTGTGAAGATTTTAAAAAATGAAGGATAGACACCCTCATTGCTGCTGCTGTTCTTATTATTACTATTATTGTTGTTGTTGTGTGCCTTCAAGTCGTTTCCCTAAGGCAGTGAGGATGTGACTTGCCCAAAGTCATCACTACTGTTGGTGCTACTGGACCTCTTAGCGGCCTTTGATAGGGATTGGGGGTGAGATGGAATTGTTTTAACTTTGTTCTTTTTAATCTTGTTTACCGCTCCGATTGCCCAGCAGAGGAGCGGGATATAAATAAAATTTATTATTATTATTATAAATTTTATTATACAATAGATCACGACATCCTCTTGGATCTCCTGAGAAGGTTAGGAATTGAAGGAATTGCATTGCAATGGTTTCATTCCTTCCTCTTGGGCAGATTCCAGAGGGTGATTCTCAGGGACAGTCGCTCTGCAAGGAAAGAGCTTAATTGTGGTGTCCCACAAGGCGCCATCCTGTCCCCTATGCTATTTAATATATATATGAAGCCGTTGGGAGAGATCATCCGAAGACATGGGGTGGGGTGTTATCAGTACGCTG